CTATTATTTGTTTATTTGCTAAATAGAGTACACACCTCATGTGTTACATTTATACGACTCCCCTAGTCCCATTTAATGATTTTTAAGTTTAATATAGCGTTTTAGTTGTAAATATTACTCCCAGTGATACTGAATTACTGTTAATAGTTGGGGAATCTGATAGTAATGTACTAAGTGATTTAGTTGTTATTAATTTGGTAAATATTAGTATATTTCATAGTGTGAACGAAGTTGACCCCCCATGTCATTTTATATTTATATTATTAAACTTGGGTATATATTGAACTTAACTTATTATTTTTCCCCACTTGCTAACTGTCAGCATCTATTTTTATGGTAAAGTAACTGATATAATATAAGAGGAGCATACTCGATTTGTAGCCGCTTGATGGCCTTGTAGAGGAGATGCTATAGTTTCCTATTTGGAGTTTGGTAGTGAACTGTCACATGGATTGTTGGATGTGAGGTTAAACTCCTGGCGCCCACTCACAAACATCACTTTTTCTACGACTCACCCCCTTCTTCACTGTAGTTAGTCGGCAGCCAACATTGGATTAATATAAATCCCACCTCGGTGCTTAGGCACAGAAAGTAGGTAGCAAAACAGACTGTTTCCTATGAATTTCAACAAGTGTATAATGTAGATATAAAGCAGATAGTGGCATAATTTTAAATTTAATAAAATGTTCTTGACAATGTTCTCTGAATCCAATGTTAGCCATAATTCTGATAGCTTTTTTTTGCATCCGGAAGATTTGAATAGATTGAGAGGAGTTTCCCCAAAATGGTACATCATAGCTGATATGCGAGTGAAAGAGAGAAATACGTAGTTTTGAGGGTATTTAAGTTGGTAAGCTTTTTCAAGGGCCGAAGAATAAACAAAGAACTAGAAAGTTTTTTCTTTAACTGAATAATGTGGGCCGACCAATTGAGTTTATTATCCAATGTAATAACAAGTAATTTTACGTTTTTTGTTTCACATTTTGAGATAATTTGATTATTGGCAGATATCTGCATATTTTGAGTTTTTCACTGTTAAGTTTTAATTTGTTGGTTGAGAACCATGTGTTTGCTTTGTCCGCAATTTCATCAAACGAAGAAATTAAATTTTTTATTATTTTTGTCTGTTAAGATGAGTGTTGTATCATCAGCAAATAAAACTGATTTATTAGGTAGCATAAAACGGCTTAGATCGTTAACATAAACAATGAATAAAAGGAGGCCCAGGACAGAACCTTGTAAAACCCCTTGTCTTACAGCCTCAAAGTCAGACAGAACATCATTACTCATCACAGCTTGTTGTCTGTTACTGACATGAATTTATTAGTGCAAGCGGAATTCCCCCAACTCCATAGAAGCTTAGCTTTTCCAGAAGAATATCATGAGAGACGCAGTCGAAAGCCTTTGACAGATCGCACAACATTACTGCTGTGTGATTTCCTTGCTTAAGTTCCTCAACTACATCATTCACAAACCATATTGGGAGTTGCTGAAGAAGTTGTTTAATTCAAAATACTCACATAATTGTTTTTTAATAATTTTTTTAATAACTTTACCAAATATTGAAACAATACTTATGGGACGATAGTTATCAATTTTCGAGACATGTATGGAATGGATGGAATGTATGGAATGTATGGAATGTATGGAATGTATGGAATGTATGGAATGTATGGAATGTATGGAATGTATGGAATGTATGGAATGTATGGAATGTATGGAATGTATGGAATGTATGGAATGTATGGAATGTATGGAATGTATGGAATGTATGGAATGTATGGGTATGTATGGAATGTATGGAATGTATGGAATGTATGGAATGTATGGAATCTATGAAATGTATGGAATGTATGGAATATATGGAATGTATGGAATGTATGGAATGTATGAAATGTATGGAATGTATGGAATGTATGGAATGTATGAAATGTATAAAATGTATGGAATGTATGAAATATATGGAATGTATGAAATATATGGAATGTATGGAATGTATGGAATGTATGGAATGTATGGAATGTATGGAATGTATGGAATGTATGGAATGTATGGAATGTATGGAATGTATGGAATGTATGGAATGTATGGAATGTATGGATTGTATGGAATGTACGGAATGTATGAAATGTATGGAATGTATGGAATGTATGGAATGTATGGAATGTATGGAATGTATGGAATGTATGGAATGTATGGAATGTATGGAATGTATGGAATGTATGGAATGTATGAAATGTATGAAATGTATGGAATGTTTGAAATGTATGGAATGTTTGAAATGTATGAAATGTATGAAATGTATGAAATGTATGAAATGTATGGAATTTATGGAATGTATGGAATGTATGGAATGTATGGAATATATGAAATGTATGGAATGTATGGAATGTATGGATTGTATGGAATGTATGGAATGTATGGAATATATGAAATATATGGAATATATGGAATATATGGAATGTATGGAATGTATGGAATGTATGAAATGTATAGAATGTATGGAATGTATGGAATGTATGAAATGTATGAAATGTATGAAATGTATGAAATTTATGGAATGTATGGAATGTATGGAATGTATGGAATGTATGGAATGTATGGAATGTATGGAATGTATGGAATGTATGGAATGTATGGAATGTATGGAATGTATGGAATGTATGGAATGTATGGAATGTATGGAATGTATGGAATGTATGAAATGTATGGAATGTATGGAATGTATGGAATGTATGGAATGTATGGAATGTATGGAATGTATGGAATGTATGGAATGTATGGAATGTATGAAATGTATGGAATGTATGGAATGTATGGAATGTATGGAATGTATGGAATGTATGGAATGTATGGAATGTATGGAATGTATGGAATGTATAGAATGTATGGAATGTATGGAATGTATGTAATGTATGGAATGTATGGAACTTATGGAATTTATGGAATGTTAGGAATGTTAGACGTTAGGAATAATCGGAATGAGTAAAATAAATCATAAGAAGTGTTTGGGCGGATTTTAAGAACATTGATAATAAAGTAGTTAGGTTGAACCGAAAATTCTGAAAATCAATAGGGTTCTTAGTTAGAAGCAATTATTCAAGAAAATCAAAACCGCAAGTCAATCAGAACTTTCGTTCTAGAGTTATCGTGCGGCATACATACACACAGACAACCATACGTCTTTTTTGTATTTTGGGATTCAGAATGATCGGAAACGTAAACAAAATTGATTGAATCGTTTGATTAGATTTTGGACAAAGTCGGAACATCTGGGGGGTACTTTATGGGAGGCCGTTTATATATTTTATGGAATATATGTTATTTCTGTTTGGAGAAGAAAATTGTTCAAATAAAAGTTACTTCTAATATTATTAACTATAATTTTTGCTTAATGTCATTTTTTTTAAAATGGTCAGTATTCGAGAAAGTTGACATTATGTGCAAAATTCTGATTTTTAAGAAAATTGTAAAACTAAAAGTTGTTTGCGATATCGATCTCTATAATTTTTGTTTTAACATGATTTTTCTTAAATGGACCGTTATGGAAAAATTGGAGGAAAAGTGCTAAATTTAAATGTTTCAGTATTTTCGTTTTCAATGAATATCTATAGAAACATGTTTCGAGTTAGACATATGTGGAAAATGTATCTATTTAGTTTATTCTCTAAAAATTTATAGAGGTGCTACAATAGGTTGTACAAGATAACCGGAAAAAGCCTAACTAGATAGGAAAGTCATGTGTTGGACACATCAGACTTTTTTGCTTAGGAGAGCAGTATGGTTATATTTAAATAGAAAAAATGGAAATTAAAAATAATTTTCTTCCCATTAGCTCAAAAATAAGTCGTTAAGATTAGTTAAATAGGTACCATAGATTATATGTACAGGGTCCTATAAGTGTGGAATTGTTCAATATTTCAATTTGTGTTGTAGACATGAAAAAAATTTCAAATAAGAGTTATATGCGTTTTTTTCTGGCAAATAAAAATGTATGTTTCTTAAATAGACCACCATGCATTTTATTTTTTTATTTACAATGGATTGGTAATACTGTATTCAACCCTAGAATGTTTTTAAAAAATACTACAGTGTTGCTAAGCAATTAATTTTTTTTTAAATTAGTGAATACCAAAGCATGCTAAAAATAAAGTATTTTTACAGGGTGTTCATTTTAAAAAACATAAATTTTTAATTGGCAGGCAAAAATGCAACTCCCTGTATATTCATAATTATTTATTTTTAAAATATCTATTTTTTAAATTCATATACCTTTCATTTGAATCTGTTTTGCGTCTCTATACCAAAAATTGATATATTAAACAATGCCCAATCATGAGATATGGGGTATATAAAAAACAATTAATTGTTTAGGAATATGAAGTAATAATAAGGCTATACATTCAAAAAAAAAAATAAATTAATACCTAGAAAATAAAACACTTAAAATTTCTCACTAATAATAAAAAAAATGACAACTGAAATAAGAAGTACTGAGACCGCAATCTATGCAATTTGACTCGAACCTGTAGTATTTATAATAAAAAAAAAATACATACATTCCAAATTCAAAAATAAGTTTTATGAATTATATATAGATTGAAGTTTTCTTGAATTTATGGTATAAATCAAAAAATATATTTTTATTCCCAAGATAAATATTCATATTTTCATTTCCAGACACCAGTCTACTAAAATTGATTTCTGTTAAATATTAAAATAATAAAACTGTTAAAGAGCCATTGGATTGAACTTATTTATCAATTCGATGAATAAAGTATCAATTTGAGTACCAATTTTCAACAATTAGGTTGTTGGGAGGCAAAAGATACGGCTTAATAGGTCGTATTTCTACGAACAAGTTTTACTGGATAGGTTAAAGTACTAAACGAAGTCTAATAGAAGACTAATGAGAATGTGATTACCTTTTAAACTATAAATAAGTAAGGAGTCTGTAAAATTTGTAGTTTCGTGAAGATGTCCAAAATGCTGAGTTCTTGGTTAAGGTTTAGTTTGTTGCTGAGTTGCTTTTTTTATGGAAATCAGGGAGCAAGTAAGTTAATATTTTATAAATTACCTGGAAAGGAAACAAATATTTATTTAAATTAAAATTTAAAACATTAGACATGGTTTTTTTATAGATTCAAAATAGCTCTATGTAGGTATATTTGTATTTTTGGCTAAACGAGTTGAGTTAAAGCAGGAAATTTAATAGTTTTGGCAGATAATGTTTTAAAATATAAAATTATAAATGTTCGGAACCAGGAATGACATTTTGTTGCTAGCTATTTCTAGAAATACGTTTTTACATTAGGCTCCGAAACAATAATACATATTTTTTATTTTTATTTGTTATATGATTACAAATAAGTAATGGATTTTACAAATAATAATATTTGTTAGACTTCAAAATTTTGGTTTTATGTTTTACACCAATATAAAGAATATTATTAATATTCATATGAGTGAGATGAAGAGAGAAACTATTTTAATATCAAAGGTTGTTAGTTTTCTTAAAAAAAGAGAGTATATAAAAATATTTTAACACTACCTTTTTGGAATATTTCCTTAAAAATTATTTTAAGTTCTAACACTCTAATTTTAACACCAGTTTAGCAGCTAGTATTCATTATAATCAATTTTCTAATTACCGAAATGAAAAGTAGCCCATTTCCAGAGCTTATAACTTTTAAAAAAATTGTAAAATCGTGCCGTATTTGCTGATATGTGTTATTTTGCTATAAGTTTTGCTTCAGTGACACATAAATTTGGTATTACCTATACAGGGCGTTTTTTAAAAAATCTCTTTTAAATTAACCGTAACCAAATTTTATCAAATTTTCATTGGGAGATCCTGCATTTTAAATGTCTTTATTTCATTTCATTGAAAATCTTTATTCACCTGTTAAAATATATTTTTGTTACAATACATCAACATAAAACTTAAAAACTAATTGTACACAGTACAATAACTGGCCCTAGTGGTAAACCGCTGGTTTCTTAAAATTAAATTTGTGTATTATTCTATTGACGATATAGAGCAAAAGTTGCTAGAAAAGTGACATCTATCACACTATTTAGTACTATATCACACGAGTGTGGATAAATCTACGTATCCACCCGTTTGTGAATATGAGTCTACTTTTCGCATTAGCTGTCAAATGTGTCAGATGTCTAATTTCCATTTTGATTAATGTAATGTCCATTTTAATAGTAAAATCGATTTGATAATTAAATTCTTAACATTAATTTTTTAATATAGATCTTAGATATTTCTTTTTAACAAATTATTTTTGCTCCTTCCTGGTTCATTAATTTAATTAGAAAAGTCATATGATAGCGCAGATCGTTTGGTGTCCAACCTTTTCAACTTGGCATTTCGCGACCATTTCAGTATGTTGGTTCCATGAATTTTTTTTTTTTTTTAGTTTGAAAAAATATTTTTTTTTTTAAATACATATTATTTATATATAACCCCTACAATATTCTTTTCGATATTTATCTTGTACTATTTTAATTACTGTTATTTATTAATTATTAATTAACTTATTTGTAAAAAATAACTTAAGAAAAATTAATATATTCTAATATTTTTATTTGTAACTAATGGTATTTTATCTTTATCGTCCTATGAAATTGTTTGTAAATAGAATCATAATATTTTAAATTTCGACAAAACACTATCTGTAAAACGCTTTAAAAATTATTCAACAAGGTACATAAAAAGAAAATCTAAAACCAGACACATCTTTATAGCCATATTTTCTATTCTTACATTTTTTGATAAAATTATTTTGTAACCGTTGGAAAAATATTGTACATCACTTGTGTGAAAGTGATTTTTCACCCTCCTGTGATTGTCGCACTCTGCTTATACCTCGTGCAACAATATTTCACACTCGTGTGAAACATATTACTTTCCACACTAGTAATGAAATATACTATTTTCAGTTTACTCTGGAATTTTTTTACAATATATTGTTTTTTGTAGGTGTACTTGAAGCTGGAGGAATAGTACCCACTGCAAAGTTTGGAACAAAGTTATATTATTTTTCTAATAGTCAAGTAGTAAGTATATTTTTATATTTTTGATTATCCATCTATATTATACTGAGTGTTCAAATTAAAGTGTTACAGTTAAATACCGCCTTTTATAAAAAAACGTTTCAGACGAAAGTTTTATAGTTTTTTAGGGAAGAAATTTTCATGTAGGTGTTGCTCAATAAGTAAAAGTCAAATAAAAAATTGTTTCCTTTAAAAGTTACTTATTTATTTATGAACTTTAAGGATATGTAAAACAAAATTAGGTCCGAATTTGAAAAAAAAAGTTTATCTCGATATGGCCATATTATGGTCAGCTATAAAAAAATGAATTTAGCCAAAATGTTTCGCCCAAAAAACTATAAAATTTTTGTCTGAAAATTTATTTTATAAAATGCATATTTTCAGCGGTTTTAATTGTAACACTTTAATTTGAACACCCGGTAGATATGAATATGATATCTAATTATTATAAATATTTTTAGGCAAATTTCTTTCATGCAAATCACATCTGTACTGAATTGGGCATGCGTCTTGTTACAATTCCTAATAAAGAAGTTAGTGATTTCTTGTACCAAATTATAAATAATGCAAGTAAGTAAAATTTTTTAAACTATGTAAATAAATTAATGAAGTTTTCTGATTATCAATTTCTTTTCTTCTGTTTTAGACAAAATAACCCGATATTGGACATCTGGTACCTCTTTAATTGATGGTAAAAATTGGGTTTGGTTCTCAACATTAAAACAAATTATTTATACCAATTGGTTATTTGGGCAACCCGATCTTCCAGCGGAACGTTGCATTGAACTACAATTACAGAAAAGTAGGGGCCTGCAATGGAATAATTTAGACTGTAATATTCAGTTGAACTTTATTTGCGAATCTCAAGACGTTAATGATAAAGGAGAAGTTATGCCAAACAGTAAGTAATATATTTTTGAAAATATAAATGAATGAATATGAATATTTCATACAAAACATCAAAATTAGACCTACTAATTTTATCATATCAATTATACTTTTGTGAAGACGTACATTGACCGGTTTCGTTTTAATTTTAGATTGGCAAGGTGCTTTTGCTGATCCATCTATATCACCAAACTTCCCAGTCCTTAATTACAACAAAAACAGCTATTATATTGGAAATCACATGGTATTGGTAAGTTTTTGAGCATCATTGTAAGTTTATTAAATTAATTTGTTTTTTTTTTATTGTTATAGTCGTATGTCGATGCAGACAGATTTTGTAAACTCATTGGTATGGAACTTGTATCAATTGAATCAAAGGAAGAAAATAACTATATTTATAACTACATTAGGGATACAAGTAAGTATTATATTAAAAAAATCAACAGTCGTAATATATTTACATTTATTTTAAATTTTCACCTTTTCCAGTTGCTGGCACAACCTTCTGGTCTGCAGGCACCCGCCTTGTAAATGGTATCGATTGGTATTGGTTACCATACGGTCGTAAAGTGACTTACACCAATTGGTTCGTAGGAAAACCAGACAGCAAAGTTGAGCATTGCATCCAGTTGCAATTTCTAAAAGATTCTGGTTTATTCTGGAACGATTTAAACTGTGCAATTGCCCAAAATTTTATTTGTGAAGCTCCAACAGAAAAAATTGCAGCATGTCCAATAATTGGTAAATACTAATTGATCTAATTTTAACAAAATAATAAATAAAGATATTTATAATTTTTTTCACTTATTAATTGTTTTTTACAGATCCTGCTTGTGAGAAACTGCCAGCAAATCAATGTCCTACAATTTCTAAATCACCGGCCTTCCATTTTGGTAAAGAAAAAGTAAGTCCAATATTTTATAATGTTTGTTTTAAATAAGCATAAACTATTTATTTTTAATATTGTATTAGCACTTTCATCGGTTTAAACTATTCTTTTTCATGTGAATATGTTCTGTAATTAAATTTTTTCATTTCTTTAATTATAACAAAATATATAATTCGTTCAAATACTTTGTTAGCAAAACACATTGGTAACTATTTCTACTTAATATATTTTAGGTTTCATTTTGAAAATTTTAGATTCCGTTGGTCTAAATTTCAAATTTTTTAGGTTACGAACAACGATGCCGTTAAAAAGTGCAATGATTTGGGACTCAAATTAATCAGCATTCGAGACAAAGCTACGCAAGAGTATGTTCAGAAGTATATTGCAAATATTGGTGAGTAATTACATTTTTAATGCATTTTTTAAATAGTTATTTCAAAAATCCACGTATTAATTTCTTCTGTTAAATAAAAGTACTCACTTGATTTGTATTGATTACTAGATTGTAAGCAAATCTTCTCTTTTTTTTCAGCATATGATAATCCGTTTTGGACTTCAGGTAATCGACTTTCAGACCAGACGACGTGGCGTTGGTTATCTGGTGAAAATATTAAAGAGTTTTTCTGGAACACGGGAGAACCCAACAATTCTGGAGGTGAAGAATGCATATCGATAAAGAAAGAAGGACAGGTTTATGGATGGAACGATGCCCCTTGCAACCAATTAAATTATTATATTTGCGAATACCCATATGAACATAATAATTGTCAAAACTCTTGTAATCAACTACCTGTCGTAAACGTATTCATAGATAATGAGCCAAAAACTGTTTACTAAGATATTTTTGAGTTTTCTATTGCATTTGAAATGTTTTGATTTGTGATTATGACTTATATAAATTTAGTTATACTTGTTAATAAATATTTGAGACCTAATATGTACATTTTTATGAACCTCTCTTTAATGCCAATAAGAAATTTATGGAATGTTAATATTCTTATCGTCTCATATTTTTCAAGATCTTTTAAATATATATTTATTATATTTATTTTCTGATATTTTATAATTTCTAGAGCCAAAAAAGAATACATAAATATACGACTATTAATAAAATAATAGCTGATGACGGCATAACTAAAATAGTAAATAGAATATACAAAAAATTTATTTAACCCGAAGGGTTGTAAGATCCGTTTTTACAAGGTTTTTTACAACTAGTAACATTAAAGGTAACAATCACAGAATCGCACTGTGTTCACTTTATTTGCTGACGACACTACGATTTTATGGTAGAGCAATGACACCTGGTTTCTTCATAACACCATATACTGTGACATTAAGAGAATCAATGCATCAGTGCTTAAATATGAAAAAAAGTAAAATACTAACCCTTAAATATTTCTATCCACATATTTAGTTAGGAAGTCATTAAATTAAATATACAGAATGATTCATTACTAATTGGAAATATTTCAACTATAGAATCCTGAGCTCAAATTATGAAAATTTAACCCAAATCACCTAGATAAAATGTTTCTCCATTTTACTTTATTCATTTTTTTTCTACTCTTCACACAGTAGTAGTAGTAGAGGTTTACTTTGTCGTTCTATCCAATGTCACGTTTTTTCTCTGCATAAGTCAAAAACGAAAAATAATATCAACTTGAAAATTTTAAGTAAAAGATCTAGCTCTATAAGGGGACAAAGCCTCTTCATTTGAAAAAAATCTGATTCAAAATAAAAAAAAATCCTGAATTAAAAACAAAAAGCGACATCAACATGAAATTTGTAGTAAAAATAAAGCTCTATAAGAAAGTATAAAGCCAATTGATTCTGGAAAAATCTGAATAAATTGAGGAGGGTAAATAAATTTCAAAAAAGTCCTGACTCAAAAACGAAAAATGATATCAACTTGAAATTTTTAGCTCTGTAAGGAGAAGAATACCCTTGATTTTGGTTAAAAATGGGGGGTTTAGTGGGTTTGAAATAAAAAGAAAATCAAAAATGAAAAGCGATATCAACATGAAATCTTTAGTAAAAATCAAGCTCTATAAGGTGATGAGGCCTATTAATTGTAAAAAAAAAGAATAAAATTGAAGGTTAAAGGGGTTGAAATATTTAAAAAATCAAATTAAAAAACGAACAAGAATTATCTCTTGTGCCAACTACGACGTCCGGTTTTTTGATTATTTCTAACTTTCTGATATTCTTGTGCCTACTACCAATACCTAACCCCATCCTGTGTTTTTTTATCAAAATAGGATGTTCTCTCACATTTAAGTCTCTGTAATTTTTTCCCAGTACTGATTTAGTGATTTTTATTTTCGGTTTTTTAAAATTATTGTCTAAACTAATGCCCAGAAATTTGATTATGTAAATACAGGGTAATTCATTACTAATTGAAAATATTTCAACTATAAAATCCTAAGTTTGAAATATGAATATTTAACCCAAATCACTAAGATAAAATGTGTTTTGTTTAAAAATTTAAAAATTATTTCTGTCCAGTACTTTAAAACTATTTGACGTATTATTGTCATATTTGGCGGGACGTGTAGATATTATACACCATACACTAAATTATGTTAAATAAACATTTCTGGATACCATCAGAGGCGTACGACCGGGGCAAGTGACTGGTTAATCATTCCCAAATTCTACACTATCGGCAGAATTACAATTTTTCGATTCTCCAATACTTTCTACGTAAATATTGTGCAATTTCTTTATAGCGATAAAGTTATTATTTTTTGAGATATTTTAATTTAAACATGAAGCTGTACAATTATTTTGTTGTTTTGGGACATTGGATTGCGTTTACTCGTATTACGCAAACGAAACTTCAATTTGTATTAACAAAAATGTGTTTTCTTTTTGAGTTACACAGTGTTTTATTTAAAAATTATTTGTGCCCAGTACTTTAAAACTATCTGACGTAATATTGTCATATTTGACGGGATACATGCTTTCATAGTGCGACATATTCAAAATAATCTTAGGTTTTTTGTAGTTGGCTCTGGTCTGACTTAATTGTTTCGATCTAGTAGGATGCTGTCATTGTAGTCGAGGCAATAAAGCACTAAAAAGGCCAAAAGTTCGGAATTTTTTAGACTAAGATGGATCGGAATGCGGTTTTTTGCATTCGCTATCAAAACATTTTTGGAAAAAAGGTCCCTAGTTTTTATCTTATACAAACCGGAAATTGCAGTGCTGCATCCAAAAATGCATTCCAAAAATTTATTTTTTAGACGGCTTTTGGGAGATTAAAGAACTTTGTAAATAAGAATCAGAACTGGCCCAACTTATGTTCACGGGGGTTTTCGAGGTCGCTGATTGGGATTATCATAGTAAAATTGACTCACAGCCGACCTGGAGCTCTGAAGCCCAGGAACGCCGACAAAAGTCATCTCTGTGGTCCCGAAATTCACGCGGGGAATGAGAGAAACTCGACACCCAGGGGTTTTTGGGTCGCTGAATTTAAATATGGCATCGGCAAAGATCCCATGGACACCTAATGTGCCGAAACCTGAGAATTTTCCTGATATAATCGCCAAAAACAGCCCGAAAATCATTGTGTGGCGTTTTTTGAAGCGCTGATTCCAAATTTTACGTCGACAACGACCCCCTGAACACGTGGTGCACCGGAACCTGGACGCGGATCTCATTTCCGTGAGTGTTCCTCATACAATCAAAACAGACGAACCGAAAATTGTTAGGGGGGTTTTTTGTGGTGCTAAATGCAAATGTGGCTACGGCGAATACCCCCCCGAGAACTTATACGCCCGAAACTGCACGTGGACTTCATCCCCGAGAATTTTCTTAAAAAGTTTGTAGGGGCGTTTTTTGGGCGCCTAATCCATATTTTACATCGAAAACGATCCCCTGAATACCTGGTACACCGAAACTTGGACGCGGACTTTTATCTCCGTAGGGTTTCCTTACACAATCGAAAAAGACGAACCAAAAATCGTTATGGGTTGTTTTTTAGGGCGCTGAATCCGAATTTCCCGTCGAAAACAACCCCTCCAACACCTGGTGCACCGGAACCTGGCCCTAAACGCCATCTTCGTGGGATTATCCCAAAATTCACGCGGGGAAGGAAAGAAATTCGGGGCCCGGGAGTTTTTTGGATCGTAAAATTCAAATGTGGTATCGTCGAACACCTTTCGGATACCTGGTGCGCCGAACCTGGATGTTGGTGGGCGGGGCCTGGACTTAAGAGAAAGTTTCTATGTATACTCCTCGCTCTATTCAAACCCGGCATATAGAATTTTACACGACTGGATCAACTTTTTCGAGGGCCCCAAGCAAGAGTTACACATCAATGAATGTGTGAAATTATGAAATGATTTTTGGTTAGTCTTTTACGATCGTGTCTGAAAAACCCTCGGAGACGCTGTTCAGTCTAGTTTCCGGTTCACCAGGTATTGGAAGGGTCGTGTTTGACTTGAAATTCGGATTTAGCTCCCCAAAAAAACCCCCAAAACGAATTTCGCTTCGTCTTCTTCGATTGTGTGAGGAACACCCTCGAAGACGACGTTCAGAGCCAGATTCCGGCGCACTAGGTATTCGGGTTATCGTTTTCGACGTGAAATTTGGTTAAGCACTCAAAAAAACACCCCTTCAATGATTTCCGGGTTGTTTTTTAAAAGTTTGTCAGGAAAATTTTCGGAGATGATGTCCACGTCCAGGTTTGGGCGCACCAGGTGTCCGGGGAGTGTTTGCCGATACCACATTTGAATTCAGCGCTCCCAAAAAAACCCATAACGATTTTCGGTTTGTCTTTTGCGATTTTATGAGAAAAACTCACGGAAATGAGGTCTGCATTCAGGTTCCGGTGCACCAGGTATTTATGGGGTCATTTTCAACATTAAATTTGGATTCAGCGCCCCAGAAAACGCTCCCACAATGAGTTTTGGATTGGTTTTGGCGATCTTGTGAGGAAAATTCTCGAGGATGACGTCCACGTCGCAAGTTCCGGTACACCAGGTGTCCGGGGCATGTTCGTCGATGTTATATTTGAATTCAGCGATCCAAAAAACCCCTGGGCACCGAGTTTCTCTCCTTCTTCGCGTGAATTTCGGAGAGTCCCACGGAGATGATGTTCATTGGCACTCCTGAGCTCCAGGTCTGCTGTGGGTCAAGTTAAATAATATAATCATAATCAGCGATCTTGATAATCTTTAGGAACCTGATTTGGGCCAGTTCTGACTCTTATTCACAAAGTTCTTTAATCTTCCAGAAGCCGTCTCAAAAAAGGAATTTTTTTATTGCATTTTTAGTTGCAGCAATGCAATCCCCGGTTTGTATAAGATAAAAGAGAGGGACATTTTTCCAGAAATTTTTTGGAAAAGAATGCAAAAAACCGCATTCTGATCGGTCTTAGTCTAAAAAATTACGAACTTTTTTTGCTTCAATGCTTCGACTATTGCTGTTAGTTGTTACTGACACTTAAGATTGTTGCAAAATTTAAAAATTCGATTGAATGAAAATACCGCGGCACAACAATTTTATTAATCTTGAAATACGAGACATGCTCTGTGCTTATGTAAACGAAAATTATTCCTCTCTTGCTGCTGCTCGAAGATATCAAGAGATCTATCCAAACAGAGTTCTTCCCAGTCGCCAGACTTTCAGTAATATTTTTAGTCTATTAGGAGAAACTGGACAATTTAGGCGTAACAGTAGTTTGGAACGACCGAAAATATTAACTATGGATCAAGGAGGATGATATTTTAGTGAGAGTGGCTGATAATCCTGAACTAAGTACTTGGCGTTTATCAGTAATAACTGGAGTAAGCCAGTCCTCAGTTTTTCGAATACTGAAAAAAAAAAAC